AGGGAGGCATAACTGAGAAGGCAAAACTGCTACAAAAAAGAAAAATAAATCATAGGCTGTGGAAGTAAAAGTGGAAGTAAAAATGATCTTTACTATTGCCACTGCTGTTGTTTTGGTATCCAGGCTTCTTGCTTTGCAGTGCGAAAGAAACTGATTTCATTGCCTGCCAGACTGTGTGGAGCTCTTGCCTATAGGGTCAGAACAGTGGAGGGAACATGACCCAGGGGCAGAACTGTCGGCTGCCTTTCCTGGGTTCCCACAGCACTCTGTCCACCATCTCAGCCCTCACACCAGCCGATAGATTTTGGATGTGTTGTCCCTGTCAAAACTCATGTGGAAATCTAATCCCCAATGTGACAGTGTTGGAAGCTGTTTGAGTTATGAGGGCGGATTCCTCATGAATGGATTAATGAGGATTAACCTGCGGGGTGGGGGTCCTGAGTGAGATCTTGCTCTATTAGTGGGAACTAATAGAGAGCTGGTTGTTTTAAAAGACCTGGTACCTCCTCTCTCTCTCTCTTACTTCCTCTCACCATGTGATCTGCTTGTACCCGCTGGCTGCCTGCCACTTTCTGGCATGAGTAGAAGCAGCCTGAGGCTTGTAGAGTATGCATAAAGCAAATGTATTTCACAGGGCCTGGTTTTCCAAAGCCTTGCAGTTTCAAATATTGACCTTACAAAAAACAGGAAAATTTCCCCAGACTATATAGTCTCTGATGTAAGATAAAGAGTTGTAACACAGCAAGGCGGCTGGTTCAAAGACAGACAAGTTACTGATTGATATGTAAAGATATTGGGAAGCTGCTGTAGGGAGAAGGAATGTTTGCTAAAATCAGTTTTTTGTTAGTGGATCAACTTAATTGCATGTTACCAGCTTCTATTATTAAAACTTGTTAAAACTATAACCCCACCTATGTCTCTTCCTGTAACTTCCTGGGCTGGAAAATAAATGCAGAGAGAGAACCCCAATTCATGCTTAATTTCCCAAATGGAAGGAATGCCTCTATCTTGAGGGCTCTGGGAGATTAACCCCTTTCTGGGGCTTCTCATTGCTCAAAAGAGATGGGCTTTGAGTAATCTTTGGTAGTTCCATCACCCAGGGGAAATGGGGTGACAAATCTGTGGGAGGCAAAGCAGCAGAGGCCCGTGCCAGATGCAGCTGTCCTAGAATCATAAGCCAAATAAACCTCCATTCTTTATAATTACCCAGTCTCAGGTATTTCTGTTATAGCAACACAAAACGGACTAATCCACCAGCTTTTACTGCTGTGTCTTCTTTCTTGAGAGAAGTAAGACCATAGCTTTAGCTACCAGACAGAGTTGAGTTTGAATCCTCGCTCCACCACTAACTAGTCGGGTGATCCTGAGCCAATTTCAGAACCTCTGAATCTCATTTGATCAGCTGTCAAATGGTGATAATAGTAACAGGCAGCATTTTTGTAAAGATTATTGGGCAACAGTACATATTGCTTGGCACATAGTAAGTACACAACAAATAGGAGCTCTTACAGCCAATATGGCACCTGAGGTCTCTAGGCCTCTTGAGTTGGACATAAGATTCTCTGAACCTTAGCTCACCTGAGGGAGTCTAAGGCTTCCCCAATATCCCTGCAGGTTCACAGAAGGTTTTATTCCAAGGCTCAATGACATCTACCTTGGGACTCAATGACCTCTGACTATGGGTTGTGTCACTTTTCCATGTGTGCCATCTCACTTGTGGGTTACATCAACTCAAACATGAAACCCAGCTTCCTCCTTGATATCCTCAAAACCCCACTCTGCAGGATTTGGAGGGGAAATCCAGGAAGGATTTACATCACAGAAATACAAGCTTAGCAGCTTCAAATGGAACATAAGACATTTCTATTTGACGGAGTTTGGATGTGTTGTCCCCTCCAAAACTCATGTGGAAATTAGATCCCCAATGTGGCAGTGTTGGAAACTGATTGAGTCATGGGGGCGGATCCCTCATGAATGGATTAATGCTCTCCCTGGGGGAGTGGGGATTAATGCGTGAGT